GCTTGTAATTGAATTGTGAACATGGCCGGGCAACAAGCCAGCGCCGAGACGGAGAGCTGAAACATTATCAAACTGAAACAAGATTAAATGTTATTTAGCTTTGCTCGCGACGTCGTAAAAGTCAAAAAAAAAAAAAACAAAACAAAAATCAGTAAAAAATGTGTGAAACAGGCTGCGTGTAAAAAAAAACTGAAGGAATGGCCGCGAGTCAAACAAAAAACGGCTAAAAAACAAGAAAGAACAGCTCCGTCAGACCGAAGTTTAAATGCCCTTGTTGCCGTAAAAGTGCTCTCATGCGAATTACAAGAGGTTGTTCCCATGAAAGGCCATTAAATATAACAATTCGACTTAATACATCTTTTGCAGAAATGTTAAAAATTTGTTTTTTTACCTATAGCTTTATGATATAGTAGCTCGATTCGGCCGCCTCCGATATATATTCTGCCTATAATTCAAAAGTAGACCTGTGCCAGGTTACGCGAAGCTGGCTTTAAAACTGAGAGATTGGTTGGCATAGAAAGAAGTGTCCGATCTTGATAGAAAACTCTTTCGTGATCTACTCGGTGTCTGTTGTCCGATCTTCCGTAAATTTGCAATCTTTAAATCTATAACTGATTTTTTTTTGATCATGGAAGTAGATATCATATTTATTAAAATACCCTGTACAAGGGTATAAAGTAAAAAAAAAAGAGTCCCAACCGAAACGAAGCGCAATTTGAAAGACAGAGCGATAGAGACAAAGAGCTCTACAGATGCCTAGAGTCGACAAAAAGTGTTAATTATAGCTGAAACCAAATTAAGCATAACTTTTTCATTTTACACACGCACACACACAAACACACACACATACGCACAGCCCGATGACACAAAAGTTAATTTCATGATCGATTTTTTTAAAATCGCGCCAAACCTAAAAGCCTTTTTTTTTAGATATTAAATTGGCGACAAAAGTTTTTATTTCATTTTGGATCTTGCATCTGATATAATATTGATATAAAATTATTTTTAAGAAATAAATTCCATGAAATTCTATGCCTTACCGTGTATAATATTTTTATTTTTATTATTATTCTTTACAATTAATAGTCATATTTTTGCAGACTCTTTAGGCAGAGCTTTGTACATAAGGTGTTGGGTTTCGTTTGGGCAGCCTCTTTCTACATTCTTCATTGTGGGCTATGGTCAAGCAAAACGAATTTGTTGACTTTTGTCGGGTGTGCGACGTTGTCGCGTCAGCGCGGCGCAGCGAATTGCGGCCTCTTTTTGCGGCGGCTGCGTGGCCAAAAAATGCTCGAAGCGTTGCAGATTGCATTCGATGCGCAGACGCGAACCTCCTCGTTTGAGAATTGGACGGTGGCTAGTGGCAGGAGCAGGGGCAGGCGATATGGCCAAGCCGAGTTGCCCTTTTGCATTTGGCAGCAACAGCACAAAGCGGCATTAATAACACATTTCAGACACTTACTTTTGGCCGGCCGTTTGTTTGTGGCCCAAAAGCGTTACCGACCAGCTTCAGTCGCTTCTTCCCTCTCCCTCTTTTTCTCTCTCTCTCTCTCCCTCTTGCTCGCTCACTGTGCGCCTCTCTCTCTCTTTGTGTGCTTGTCTCTTTCTATGGCTGTAAATGCGGTTGGCCTGTCTATTAGGTTGATTGCCTTTCAGTTTTTGGCCTGCCTTATGACGCTGACCATAACGATGATAGAGACGATGATGATGATAAAGACGATAATGATGATGATGATGAGGCCCAGACACTTGTTGCCATTGTTGAAGCCTGGCTGCAGCATCATTAAATTATTATTGCCTACGGTCATAATAGACAACCGCAGGAAAGAGAGGCAAAGAGAGTGAAAGAGAGTGAAAGAGAGAGGGAGGGAGAAGGAGATTGTAATGCAGGGAGTGCAAGCGAGATAGATACACTCGCTCTGACAATAGTTCACAGGCGGGTGCCTCAAAGGTAGCACACAAAATATGTATCCGACTTTGTAGTACCCCGCAATATACAAATTATTATAAAATAAGAAATATTAAGAAAAAGAATTTAGTTAAAAAATAAAATAAAAACTCGAACTATTAAAAATGCAAAATATAAATTTGTTGTATTCAATAAATTTTTATTTTGTGTCTTTCTTATATCTAATTATATTTGTATTTGTTAATTCATTTTAGTTTTATGTTTGAAATTACAAAATCAAATTCAAAATAAAATAGAAATTGGAATTATGAAAAATGCAAAACATAACATTTATTAAATATAACATAGCCTGTTTGTTATATTTAATACATTTATATTTACCATCCTTCATATTTTTAGCATAATTCTAATGTTAAAAAAATATATATATCTTAAAATTTGCTATATTATGAAAGGAGCTGTATATATATATATATACCTTAATTTTCCATATAGTGGATCAGGCATGTTTGAATCTTTTAAGTTTTTGAAGGGTATACAAATTGGAAATTGCGTGCCTAATTCGCTGTTCCACATGCCCAGCGGCGGTTGAGTGGTTGTGTGGCTCTTCTGTCTGTGTGGCTGTTGACTGCCCTAATGTACCTTAATTATACCTGCAACAACAACAACAACAACTACAAATACAACAACAGCAACAGCAAACACAATAGCAACAACTGAGCAAAGCCAAAGTTGTGGCAGCTGAGTACAAACCGAAGCTGAACTGAAACACGAAAAGTTGGTCGCCCAGTCGAGTCAGGAATCGGTGTCGGCGTCTGAGTCCAAGTCGGAGTTGGAGTTGGAGTCCAAGTCGGAGTTGGAGTCGGTCTTGGGACCGCATGTCAACCCATCAAATGCATGTCAAAGTGCCGCACTGGGAGTCGCAATGCGAGTCGCACACTGCGCGCCCGTTTGGAGGCTGTTTTAAGCCTTTTGGGCTCTTTCCAGAGAAAACGTCTCACTAATTTGATGCAGTCTTTTTTTTTTCGCTGCTGCTCCTTTTTTTTGGTCTCCTTTTTTTTGTTTGTGAGATACGCGCTTAAAACTGAACCGCGTCGGTGCCCAAATCCGAAACCCTTTTGGCCGTCTAGTCGGAAATTCCGCAAACTCATAAATGTTTTATGCCTCGGCCGGACTCAAGGTTCGTCATCGTCATCGTCATCATTTGACGGACATGTCTGGGGACCGTTTGCCTTTTATATTATTATGTATCATAATTTCTTTTCTCTTGGTTTTTTTTTTCGCCTTATTTGCGGATTATTTCGATTGAAGCTGATTCAGAGCCGGCAATTAATAGACGCTGCGGAAACTGTTTTTCCAACCAGTTTCCATTCGCAGCCAGTCGGATTGCATTGCGTGTAATTAGCCAACAATTGCACTCAACACTTGCGCGCCTGGGAATGCCAGACCATATCGATATTGACTCAGCTCCATGGCCAGCCTATCGCATGTGCGAAGTTTGTCGCTAATTTTCACACACAAGCCACACATTTGCCAGCTAATGGAAAATTAAACAATGCCGCCAAATAGTATATGCAGCAATAGCAGACTTCAAAATACCCTACGCTCAATACCCGACTACTGTCGCATAAGCAATATATTAACTCTGTCGTGTGCCTGTCAAAGCTCTTGTCAGCTTAATCTCAAGCTGAGCAGCAGTGTTGGAAAGTTGCTTAGAGATTGCAAATTTAACTGCTTGTCAAATACATTTGGGCAGCTGTTCGGTCTACTGTTCAATGTCAGACCCAGAACAGCAACTGTTAATGTTAATGCCTTCTTGTTTAACATAAAACGCAAATGTTATTCACACGATATCATTCAATGTAAATGATAGCTTAACTATTATCAATTTTGATGAAAGTGAAACACCTCTCTATACATTTCAATATACTATTTCTTTTAGAACAGTCTGCGGTTAAGATTTAGGCCCAAAATGGTAATGTTATGTTGTTTAACATAACACGAACATGTTAGTTATAGGATGTTATTATTGACTTTATTTTATTGTGAATTTATGTCGAAATGAAGCACATGAAAAGCCTGCTGTTAAGCTTTGGGCACAAGACTGCATCTGTTCATGTTAATGCAATGTTGATTAACATAACACGCTTTGTTAAGGTATCGATAAAACTACAAATAGGGTTAAGAAATATTGACAGAGCTAGTAATATCTAATAATGGATGAAAAGAAGATTTAAGAATGCAGCTTTGGTTGCGTTTTGAGACAGAATATGTCTCGCTGTTAGATCAACAGATTCATTCAATAGACTCTAAACAAATGCAATTAGATATTTTTGTTGATGTTGTTGTTGTCAATTTTCAATTGTTTAACAATCGTTGTTGTTGTTGTTGTTCTGACTAGTCGAGGCTGTCGGCAAAAGAACAAAGAGATAAACGCACAAAGCTCGACTACGTGCGACTACAATTTTATTGCATTTTTATTAGATAAAATTATAGACATCAATGAAGAACAACGACAACAACAACAACAATTGCAACAACAATAACAATTAACAAAGCCAACGGCGCCGCACCCCACCCCCCCCCCTCTTCCCCGCCCCCCCCTTCCCTGGCCAGGCTTGAGGTGTGAATGGGAACGCCGACAATTTTATTGTTTAAATTTTTCTGATTTTTTGTTTTTGTTTTCGCCTGCAAAATAGAACAGAGTATTTTGTGCTGTTTGCTGTTTAACTTTTGCACAAATATTTGCCGTCTGTTTGCTTGCTTTTCACGCAATTCGTCTGTTTTTTTTTTAATTTCTTTTTTTACTTATCAAACAGCGCATTTCGATCTAATTATTTGCCGGCAGGCTTTCAAGTTCGCTGCCCACTAAAATGCCATCAAATAAAATTTCTTTAATGAACACTTCCATTAGAATTCTTGTTGGATTTTCCAGCTGGACTTTCCAGTTGGATCTTGTCACATTGCTCGTCATCCACACTTAAAGCAATTATATTTATTTATTTAAGATATACAAACAATTACCTAATCTCGCCTCTCTCTCTCTCTCCCTCTCTCGATCGATCTCGTGTTTTGCACGTATCTCTTGCAGATAGCCAAACTTTTGCCGCTGATCGAGTCGGGCTGTTCGCGGCGAGCGCGTTTTCTGCTCTGCTCCGCGCTCTTTCCGCTCTGCAGTCCGGATGTGCCACGCCCAGTGACCGCCTGCAAGTCGCTATGCGAGACAGTAAAGGGCGAGTGTGCGACAAACGCGGCGCCGGAACTGATGCAGCTGTGGCCGCAGTTCCTCAGCTGCGATTCGCTGCCTCAGCCGGAGAATCACGAGCTCTGCATGCAAATACCGCAGGAGGCGGCGGCCAGCGAGGGCGTACAAGCCGCTGCCACGGACGGAGGTGGTGGCGTCGGCGTCGGCGGCGCAGAGCAATCGGCAGCGTCAGAGCCGCCGCCGCAGCAACAGCAAATGTACTGGTCCTGGATGGCGTGGAAGATGTCCTCGCAGCTGGGCAAGTCGACGGCAGGCAATGGCGTCCTGGGCGCCGCAGCGAGCCTGGGCGGCCTGTGTCCACAGAACTTCAGCCTGAGTCCGCTGAATGCCGAGGAGTGCCTGGCGCAGTGCCAGCGCGACGCGTTCCATACAACGCAGCAGAAGAAGCTGACTGAGAGCCTCATCCTGGGCCTGTCCGCGGTCTGCTTTGTGCTGACGCTCTTCGCGCTGGTCACCTTCTGGGCGGAGCCCACACGCTTTGGCTATCCGGAGCGTCCGGTGCTGTTCCTCTGCCTGTGCTACAATCTGTTCAGCGTGTGCTACCTGGAGCGCATCGTGTTCCATCAGGCGCGCAGCCTGGCCCTGCTGCAGCAGCAACAGGAGCCTGGTCGCGTAGGACGCGCACCCTGCGCCTTGACGCCGCCCTGCCTGGCCTCGTACATCAGCACCTCGTATTTGAGCCTGTGCGCGGCCAGCTGGTGGCTAATCTTTGCGCTCTGCTTCTATCTGTCGTCGCACAAGAAGTGGTCCAGCGAGGCGCTCGAGAAGCGCTCCGGCCTGTTCCATGTGCTCGCCTGGGTGCCACCATTGGCGCCGCCCATTGCCGCCCTGCTGCTCGAGCGTGTGCGTCCCAGCGAGCTGACCGGCATGTGCACAGCGCCCGGATTTGTGGAGTTGCCTGCCCTGGCCCTGCTGCTCCTGGGCCTGTATTTTACGCTGCGCGCCTCCCGCTCCCTGCACACGCTGCAGCAGCAGCTGCAGCCGACGCTGGCGCTGGCGCATCAGCGTTTCGCACAGATACGCAAACGTTTTGTGGTCTTCTCGCTGCTCTTCTTCCTGCCAACGGCGGCGGGGGTCGTGGCCGCCTTTTGTGAGCGTTACGTGGACGCGGTGCCCAGCTGCTCGACGCTGGAGGATTGCGCGACGCCGGCGCAACTGAGCGCCTGGCCAACGCTGGTGCGCATCTTCTTTCAGCTGGTGGGCGGCACGCTAACCGGCATGTGGGTGTGGTCGCGCAAGACATGCGAAAGCTATCGCAGCCGACTGGTGGCCGGCTCGCCCAGCTCCTCGCTGATGACGCCCAACAAGCTGCCGGCGGCGGCTGCCCTGCCCAAGAAGCATCTCTATGCCAGCGGCAAGTCGATGCTATCCGTTGCGCCCCACGCCGCCCACTCCGCGGCGCCGCTCTATGCGGGCATCAGCTTCCACAATGTGCCCGTCTATAATCCCAATCAGTCGCGCGTGTAGAGTAGAGGCTTGGCCGGATCTCAGCCTAGTGCCTAGCTCGGGCAGGGTATTCGCTGGCCTGCCTAACAAATACAAATACACCGGGCGGCTTTCAGCTTGGATCTAAATCTAGCCCGTAAGCCCGTAGGCCTAAATGAAATGTGTTAATAGCTTTAAATCCAATTTGAGTATTTTGTTAAGTGTAATTAGTTTTTTTTTATTATTATTATTATTAATTATTATTTCTATATTTTTAATATGTTCATAAGCATTAAATTAATTGAAAAAAAAAAGTACATTTAAAAGTGTTTCTAAGGAAAAATTAGAAAACTATTTCTCGTTATCTTACAAAAATTAATCCTTTCTTAACTGGAAGATAAATTTTTGAGTAATTGTTAAAATTTCTATACAAAAAATCGTTGCAAGTCATGAAAATTTGTGAGTTTTCACAAAGTTTTGTCACAAATTCTATTCATTATTTAAAATCAGATTTTTTTTCATCAGCTTTTGAAGGGAAAATCAATTTTGATATTTTAAAACATTAAATAAATTTGATTATTAAAATCTAAAAAAAATTTTAATAACAAATTAAAAATATTGTAAAATTTAAAAAAATGTAAATATTTAAAATAAAAAAATAATATATCATTAATTTTTGTAATATATACAACTCAATTGAAAAGGAATATATATATATACATACATACATATAGTTACAATAGAAGAGCTTAAATTATTATGAATTTAATTAAGGTTGAAATTTATTTATCTACATTCCGAAAGATAGACATTTTTATGAAAATATGCTGTGGTTCAAGTTAAGCTTCGGCTGAAGTTAAGCATCGGCTGTTTCTTGGCAAACAAAAACGTGGAAAACTTCAATTTGAGGCCGGTTTGCAGGCTTGGTCAAGAAAAGAGTTGAGGAAAGTGAGCGACAGCAAGAGACTTTGACACAAAATGGAAGCGGAGCTGACATTTAATTGCATTGAGAGCCGCCAGTGTCTGGGCAGATTTAATTGTGGCTACTGTTGCGGCGAGCGGAGCAGGGTTTAACGCCTTGCCAGTTGGCCAATTAGAAATAAGTTTAATGAGCGGCTCTCGAGTTGATGGCAACAATTGGTGGATGGCAACCCTTTGTCCAGCCACCCTGCGAGTGTCACAGGCAGAAACACACACAACGTCAGCAGACGGGGCAGCGTGCAATTAATTTGATTGAAGCTGCCACACGGCGTGCCTTGCAACGTTTCTATCTTACAAATTGCCGTTGCAAGCAGCAGAAGCAGCACGAAAGAAAACAACAACAGCCACTGTGCAGCAAGCGTGCAATTAACTTGTGTGCGCCAAGATCAAAGCGATTAAAGCCGCTGCCCCGACTAAAAACTGAGCCCACGTTCTGTGGCTGTGGCCCCTCTGGCTGCAGCAGACGCCGCTGCCGAACCGTAACCGAAACCGAAGCCCAGTCAAGTCAAGCCAAGATCGGCTGCAACAACAAAAGAACGTGCCCCCCCCCCTCTCCCCCAAAACGGCCACAAAGGCAACAGCACAGTCTGGCCAGGGGGGGGGACAGGGGGCAGGGGAGCTGGCTGGAGTTGGGCAGAAGCTGCCAGCCAGGCTGTCTGCCAGGCGTCCTTTAAGCGGCTCAAATGATTGTTGGCCATTTACAAGTGTTAAATGTGCATTAAAGCCTGGCCGACACTTTGGTTTCGAGTGCGGCAATTTTCATTATAAATGCGGCACATTTTGGCCAGCGGGGGCGATGCGGACTGTGCGGAGACAAATGACCGCACGATGCGTCCCACTTGGCTAATAACTCATTCAACATACTTACCAAAAGCCGCTGCAAAGCGTTTTCGTATACCCTGTAATCGTAACAAAACGCTGTACAGGCTGTACTGGTGAGTGTTAATCGACATCTCCGACTTTTAAGTCAAGTTCCGAATTGACTCAACCAAGTTCCATCTGGATGTCTGTCTGTCACTTTGGCTATAGCGGCAACTGCATATTTGAGCTTTGGATATACTGGGTATATTGGCTAGCTGCAAAACCTAGGTAAGTTACTGTAGAAAACCTCCAACAAGTTGTAATAAGTCGAATCTTTTATTTGCACTGTATAGGGTATCTCTTAGTCGATCACTCTTCTTGGTATCTTGGTCTCGTTTCGCTCTAGGTTTTATTTTGGTATATTTTGTTGAACTTAAATTACATACGCATATATACACATACATATATATTTTTATATATCTATACTTTTATATTGTTTAATTAGTTAGTTACATTTCATTGAGAATTTAGTATACATAGTTGATTTAATTACACAAGTGCTTTAATACAAGTAATATTCGGCCACAAAAGTATGCTACGCCTTTTAACAACACAATTTCCATATACATTTATGCGCGCCCAGAAGTATGCAACACCCTTTACAGCTAGCAGCACAGGGTGTTTCAGTACAGCTGAAACTTATGGAATGCTTCTTAACGTGCTTTGTGCTTGAAAAGCTTCGTTTTAAAGCCGAATTTCGTATCATTAAACAGTTGCTTAGTAATTATAAACTTGAAAAAAATAGTTGCTTTTTATTTAACAAACATCGATAACAGTCGGCCAAGACAGCCCTAAGCTTTGCAGAGCGTTGCAGAGCAGCTGTCTTAAGTTGGCCAAGACCGGTTTTAGCTCAATGGCCCGCAAGTGTTGTGATTGTGGGAGAATGAGGGAATGCCAGAAGAGAAAGCATTCTTGTTGCACGCCAGCCTTGCCTGTCTCTGTTGACGTGTGCAACAGCTAAAATGTAAAAGATCTCGCTGAAATTATACACACATTTATTAATATTTATTTGCATTTGGATATAAAAACATGGCCGCAAGTGTTGTTAAGGCGCCCAAGTGCACAAGGAAGCCAAGAGATTTGCCCAAAACAGAGCCTGCCCAGCTCAGCGATGACAATTGGTAAGCATGCGCTAAAACGAAAGACTGAAACAACGAACTTGATGTGTACAATTTGATTTTCTAACTGTTCGCAAATCAGGCGCTGGTGGGCATTCATGGGCGCAGTGCTACTCATTACCTTTGCCACACGCTTCTACAAGGTAACCGAACCGGATCATATCTGGTAAGTTCCATAGACCACAAAAGTCCCAGACTGTAACCAAGTGTATGCATGCTTTCAGTTGGGACGAGACGCACTTCGGCAAAATGGGCAGCTGGTACATAAACCGCACCTTCTTCTTCGATGTGCATCCGCCGCTGGGAAAAGTATGTATTCGAAAGATATATTTAACCATACACTCAAAGAAATGTTTACCCTTAACATTAACATATTTTATTTAATGAGAAAATATTCTCCTATTTTTGATGTTCTTGATGTCAGAAAGAATTTAATGGCGATTTTCTAAAATGAAGTGTAACAGTTTTTTTTCGAGTGTATAAAATAGCCTCGACAGCTAAAAATATTTAATTTCTGTTGATAAAATTCAAGCGCCGTCTTAAGCAAAGTCTCGCTAAAAATCTTTGGGAATTATAAACCTTTTTCGAAAAGTAAAGTAATTCCTATAGATTTAAAGTAGGAATGACCTTCCTCCCTTCTCTCTCTCCCTCTCCCTTTCTCTCTCTCTCTCTCTCTGTCTCCAACTCTCGCTAAAGCTCACTCGCACTCTTTGCAGATGCTGATTGGTCTTTCCGGCTATTTGACGGGCTACAACGGCACCTTTCCATTCGAGAAGCCGGGCGACAAGTACAACGAGACGCGCTATCAGGGCATGCGCTATGTGAGTATCGAATTGGAATAGTTTTTTGCCCCTTGGCCCCTTGGCTTATCTGTTGCCTTGCAGTTCTGCACAACTCTGGGCGCGCTCATCATGCCGATGGGCTTCGATACCGTCTACGATCTGACGCGCTCCCACGAGGCGGCGCTGCTGTCGGCCGCGTATCTGATCTTTGGCAAGTAGAACAGAGCACCACAGCAAATCAAAGCTTATTGAGTGCCTGCGCTCTTTTTGCAGATGTGGGCATGCTGACGCTCAATCAGTACATACTGCTGGATCCGATACTGTTGTTCTTCATGATGGGCTCGGTGTGGGGCATGGTCAAGGTATCGAAGTGCACCGCAGCGGGCGGCTCGTATACGGCGCGCTGGTGGCTCTGGCTGCTGCTCACTGGGACAATGCTCTCCTGCACGATAAGCGTTAAGTTTGTGGGCCTGTTTGTGGTGCTGCTGGTGGGCCTGCATACGGCCAGCGAGCTCTGGCTGATACTGGGCGATCTGCGCAAGCCCATTGCGGAGACGGTCAGGCAGATCGCGTGCCGCGCTGTGGCGCTCATTATCTGGCCCATTGTACTGTACACGTTCTTCTTCTACATACACCTGAGCGTGCTGAATCGCAGCGGCAACGGGGATGGCTTCTACAGCTCGGCGTTTCAGTCGCGGCTCATTGGCAACTCGCTGTACAATGCGAGCATGCCGCGCGACGTGGCCTACGGCTCGCTGGTGACCATCAAGAATCATAAGACTGGCGGCGGATATCTCCACTCGCACGCCCATCTCTATCCCAAGGGCAGCGGCGCTCGCCAGCAGCAGGTGAGCTACAACACAGACTAGCTGAGAGCCAAGATTTACTTCTCTTTTAGATCACCACCTATACGCACAAGGATGACAACAACATCTGGCTGATCAAGCCGTACAACAAGCCGGCCCTGCCCAAGGACGAGCTGCGTCTGCTGCGACACGGCGATCTGCTGCGCCTGGAGCATCTGGTGACCAAGCGCAATCTGCACTCGCACAGCGAGCCCGCGCCCATGACCAAGAAGCACCTCCAGGTCACCGGCTACGGCGAGGTAAGCAACTAACCCGATCTAACCTAATCTAATCTCTATCTGAAGTTCATCTCTTCTCTGGGCAGCTGGGCGTGGGCGATGCCAACGATGTGTGGCGCGTGCTCGTCGTGGGCGGCAAGCCCAATGAGACCATACACACGGTCACCTCGCGGCTCATGTTCGTCCATTATCTGCAGAACTGTGCGCTCACGTCCAGCGGCAAGCAGCTGCCCAAATGGGGCTTTGAGCAGCAGGAGGTCTCCTGCAATCTGAACGTGCGCGACAAGAACGCCCACTGGAACGTGGAGGACAATCAGCACAAGCTATGTAAGCAGACGCCTCTCTAACTAATCCACAGTGATCTCAATATCTCAATATCTCTCTCTCTCTCTCTCTCCCTCTCTCTCTCTCTCTCTCGCTCTCTCCCTGTTGGTATTGCAGTGCCCAGTGTCAGCTTTAGCATCTATGCGCCGGGATTTTTTGCACGCTTCCTTGAGTCGCATGCGGTCATGCTGCAGGGCAATGCTGGCCTCAAGCCCAAGGAGGGCGAGATCACAAGCCAGCCCTGGCAATGGCCCATTAACTATCGGGTACGTAACCTGAAGCTCCTTCAATCTAGTCCAGTTGAAATCCTTAATCCTTTCTGTTATCTTCATTCAAGGGTCAATTTTTCTCTGGCACCAGCTATCGCATCTATTTGCTTGGCAATCCCGTCATCTGGTGGAGCAATCTCATCTTTCTGCTGCTCTTCGTCGCCGCCTTCCTGTACAACGCCGTTCTCGAGCAGCGACGTGCCGGCCAAGCGGCTCTCCGGGCCACCGGCCAGCCCGAGGAGCTGGCTGCCACAACCGAACTGTGCAGCTGCCTTCCCGCGGACGGCGATTTGCAGAAATCAGCCGGGGACACAGCCACAACTGGACGGAGTGACTCGGCGATGTCCTTGCGGGCAGCTGCCTGGCTGTTCATCGGCTGGCTGCTCCACTATTTGCCCTTCTGGGCAATGGGTCGCGTTCTTTACTTTCATCATTATTTCCCGGCTTTAATTTTCAACTCTTTGCTCACGGGTAAGTGCCTGGCTATGGGGGCTACGCCTAAGCTGAATGGAATGAAGAAAATGTGCTTACGTCCTTTTAAGCCTCGGAGTGCAGGCTTTATCATGGATTGGGCAATGCGATAGGCTAAGTCCTTTTTTTAACCCAATTTCAGTTCTCGTCGACACAGGATTTTTTCGGTTGGCTTCAATCTTTCAGCTTTTTGTCAAGAGTCAAAATCCTTCTCCATTTTCCATATAAAAGGAACTTCGAGCCACAGGGTATCTGGCAGTCGGTCACTATCGATAAGAGCACTCTCCTGAGCTTTGCTCTTATACTAAACTTCAATTATTTCCCCGACGTCCCGTGTTCTCCTTTAGAAAACTCTTCAGACTTTGCTCTAATATTTCAACTCGAATACCCTAAGATCTCTTTTAGAAAACTCATCCTGATTCTTGCTCTTATACTATAACTCGAATGTCCCCTAAACTTTTGTAGAAAACTTTTATATGTAAACTCGAATGTCTGTGTTCTCTTTTAGAAAACTCTTCAGACTTTGCTCTTATACTTTAGCTCGAATGTCCCCTTAACTTTTGTAGAAAACTCTTCAGACTTTTCTCTTATATTCAAGCCCGAATGTCCTGTGTTCTCTTTTAGAAAACTCTTCAGACTTTGCTCTTATACTTTAGCTCGAATGTCCCCTTAACTTTTGTAGAAAACTCTTCAGACTTTTCTCTTATATTCAAGCCCGAATGTCCTGTGTTCTCTCTTAGATCACTCTTCAGACTTTGCTCTTATACTTTAGCTCGAATGTCCCCTTAACTTTTGTAGAAAACTCTTCAGACTTTTTTCTTATATTCAAGCCCGAATGTCCTGTGTTCTCTCTTAGATCACTCTTCAGACTTTGCTCTTATACTATAACTCGAATATCCTGGTTCTCTTTTGGAAAACTACCAGCCTTTACTCCTATATTTTAGCCCGTGTGTCCTGTGCTCTCTTTTCAGGCATTATGTTCAACTACATTTTAAGATCGCTGCCCAGGTGGCTGCAGCATGTGCTGCTGGGCACGTTGCTCTCGGCGCTTGTCTATAGCTTTGTGCTCTTCTCCCCGCTGGCCTATGGGATGAGCGGGCCGCTGGCGAATGAGCCCAACTCGACGATGCACAACCTCAAGTGGCTGGCGACGTGGGAGTTCTAGGCGAACCAATTGAAACATGCGGCTTGCATAGAAAGAAGCATTTTATATATATATATATATATATATATATATGGTATATAAAAATAGACAAATGCGCTTAAATTAAATACATAAAAAAAAAAAAATATTCTTTTTAAATAGAAAAAAAAAACGAACATATATCCTAGCCGTACGACAATAAAAAATATAGATAACCACATGCAAGTTATAAATATAAATTAATCATTCGCATCAGTCGAAGATGCCGAGCTCGTCGAACCGTCGGAGTGCATAGCGCAGGGTATCCGCGGTGCGTGGATTTGATGAGAACATCAGCTGCACCTTCTTCTTGGCGAAATCCTGATCGGTAAGTGCCTCAATGCTTATGTCAAAGGAGTCCTCCTTCCGCATGGTGACCATGGGCAGAAACGCGTACGACGAGAAGAACCCGTACAGCTCCCGTGCATGGATCTCGTGCTGCAAGTCCGCATAGCTGGGCACAAACTGTGAATGCATCCGCTCGAGGCTGTCGCGTAGCGAGGCATAGTATGTCTGTATGAGGAACTCGCGCCTGTGGACCAGCACGTCCAGCTGGACGCTGCTGTTGAGAAAGAAATTGATATCGCAGCCGGGACTGCCAAAGAAGCTGTTCTGAAAGTCCACCTGCAAGCAAACAGATTCTATTTATAAGACTCGCACTGGCCAATGCCAGCTGGCTGGACACTCACGAAGATGGCATCGATGGGCTTTGTGGGCAGCTCGTCGTGATATTTGTACATGAAATTGTTCACCCACAGATCGCCGTGATTGAGCACCGTGATTTCGCCGGGCGTCGGACGGCCCGTCAACACCAGATTCTCCTTGATATTGTCGCAATGGCGATGCAGCTTATCCGACAGCTGCTCGTACCCGGCCCACTTGGCCACCACATTGGCCAGCGTTCTCAGCTGGAGTGTCATAAAGTTGATGAACCGCTCGTTGGTTCGTATATAGTTCTCGTCGAGCATGCCGCTGGTGAAATGCTCCCGCACGCTGGGCTCCTGTCGTATGGGTCGCAAATGCCATCAATGTAGATAGTCAGAGATTGTTGGGGGGCTGTGTGGCGTACTTACCTTCTCGGCCAGCAGCATGGAGCTGGCATGAAATTTACCCAGTTTCCTGAGTATGACCACGCAGTGCTCCTCGTTGAGCCCGTTCTGGCGGCTGGCCAGCTTGTAGCCGTACTGTGTGAGGTCATCGAAGACAATCGTTTGGATGGGCTCACGCGTTGTGTATAAGCACTTGGCGCCAAACTTGGAGCCATCGCCGATGAGCACCTCCAGCTTGCCGAGCACATCGAAATAGAAGATTTTCTCGCGCAGATAAACGGCCAGCTCCTCGAGAAATTGTGTCGCCGGCGTAATGGCAATGCTCTTAACGATCAAAGCCAGCTCCTCGTCTAGCTGGCGTTTGCTGCTCCGATACAGAGCACGGGCTCGATAGATTTTGCTGCAATAGTTTTCGCCGCCGCCGCCGCTGGACTCGGAAAATATGATCTTCTTGATGTCGACACGCATTTCGCGCAGCCCATCCTCGAGGGCGGCCTTGAAGAATTCCTCGTTCAGATATTTGGGCGGCTCGCTGGCGCGCTTCTCGCCTTCCAGCTTCATGCTGCGCGCTCGCCAAATCCTAAATGCGTTTATGCCACGGCCTCAGACTTAAATCCTTAAAGCCTGTCGAGCCGTTGTCGCCTGTCAACGTTAACTGTGCTGTCTAGGGTATATCCTGTATATCCTGTATATCCGCTAAATAGTCGCTTGGTCGTTGAGCCTGCTGCCTTGTGCCTTGCCTGTGTCGCTTGGAAAACTGTGGCCGGGCCAGGCGACTTCTCTAAATATAAGTCTGATTATCGACTTTTTGACGCGGCGCTTATCAAAGTTGGCTCGACATCAACTTCGTGCCGACATCGGGAACGCGAATCGATACGCGCTAAGTCTAATGCACATGATATGGTCGGCCCTATACATATATACGTATACACCTAGGTACGTCTATGTATATACACATCTATATAGAATAGGTAATCGTACTTATGTAGAGATGTTCATGGTATATGATATGCAGTCGCACTGAACTGTTGCGTTACAATCATAATATTTGCGAATTAATCTATCAAATAAATCGTCGAGTGGTCGCGACGCCACGCACATAAGACCCCGTGCTCCTCGACCCGCATCCTCCCGCAGCCCTCAACTGAGATACCCAGAGTTAGGTTATACGAATGCATGCTTCTTATGTCCATTTCGTATTCGAATAACGTCGCACTATATAGCTATAGCTATAGCTGGATCCAATCAAATGATAAACATCTCAGACCTGTGTACCTCATCCTCAACATATACAAGTACATATGTATATAGACAATCGCGAAATTTCACGGGATGCTGTGCTGATGTATTTAATTTTTTATTTTTTGGCTATTGCACATGATTCCGATTGTATAAGTATATATATGTATATATATTTGTAGAAGTAAAGAAATATGTATTAGAAAAGGCAACTAGCCGGAACTCATCAAGACTTTGGCACATGCACGTTGAGACGAAACTAAATTTAAATATATGTATGGAAATACATATAAATAGATAGACATAGACTGATTTATATATATAGATATAGATATAGATATAGATATAAATAAATAGACATAGGCAGATTTATATATATAGATATAGATATAGATATAGATATAGATATAGATATAGATATAGATATAGACATAGATATAGATATAGATATAGATATAGATATAGATGTAGATATAGATATAGATATGGATATAGATATAGATATAGATATAGATATAGATATAGATATAGATATAGATATAGATATAGATATAGATATAGATATAGATATAGATATAGATATAGATATAGATATAGATATAGATATAGATATAGATATAGATATAGATATAGATATAGATATAGATATAGATATAGATATGGATATAGATATAGATATAGATATAGATATAGATATAGATATAGATATAGATATAGATATAGATATAGATATAGATATAGATATAGATATAGATATAGATATAGATATAGATATAGATATAGATATAGATATAGATATAGATATAGATATAGATATAGATATAGATATAGATATAGATATAGATATAGATATAGATATAGATATGGATATAGATATAGATATAGATATAGATATAGATATAGATATAGATATAGATATAGATATAGATATAGATATAGATATAGATATAGATATAGATATAGATATAGATATAGATATAGATATAGATATAGATATAGATATAGATATAGATATAGATATAGATATAGATATAGATATAGATATAGATATAGATATAGATATAGATATAGATATAGATATAGATATAGATATAGATATAGATATAGATATAGATATAGATATAGATATAGATATAGATATAGATATAGACGAAATTTGGACATTTCTATAAGATACTTTCAGTAGATCGGGCAGAAAGTTGTTCCGAAATATGGACTTCTAGATAGAGGTACTTGTATAGTTACAACTTTTGGTGGTGCACGTGTTTTTTTATGACTTCTTAGGGCTTATCAGCTGTTAGCTGAATGCCATTGGTAACTTTTGCAAATACCTTAAACCACACCTGGCCGATAGTTGACAATGTATTTCGAATTTCTTGGTTAGAAAATTGCACGTCGGAACGTGGACTCACACAATCTCAGCAGAGTATTAAAATGCAGTTCGGGATAAAAGTAAAACTATAATAAATTTGATTGCATATATAATAACTTCTTGATCTAAGAGAAAATCCATAAGGGTAAAAAGAAATAGCATTAACATCTGTTTGAAGGGGAAATGCATTTGAATCGATAATTATCGATTCGCATGAAATATTTGTTGATTTTGTTTCACCTTTCAACCGATGAATGCCTCGGGTAGCTGGTCTATAGATAATTAGTTCGATTTCCAGACTACAATTAATGCACTAAGTGCATGCCACGAGATCTAGAATAACCGAATAGCACATTATTTAAGACCCTGAAGCAGATAACCTGTGTCGTGTGTGTGCGTGTGTGCATGTGCATGTGAGATTGCGACATATACTGATGACCTTGATAGCTGCTCTTTTTCGGGGGCCGCACAACAACACAAGACCAGAGCCGCCGGGGAGGGTGGAAGAGGAGTATTTAAGGCGGCTATCGTACAAACGAATGCATGACATTTACAGTGAATTGCTTTGTTTTGATTGTTGTTGGTCTGTTAATTACTCAATGAAATTTCGCATTTCTTTAATGAAGAAATCAACAAATGGCAAATTACGTCATCTGTGGCCAGACAATGCAGCCAAAGTGCAATGGGAAACCAGTTCGTGCCGCTATGTTGATCAGTTATGCTGCGCCAAGCGAGTGGCGCCCTTCTCGGCGATTCTCATGCCAAGCAGCTACGTGCTTTAACAAAGCGCACTACAAACACACACATCCATCTTAATAGACAACATAAACCCAAAAAATAAAATGAGACCGACCGTTAGTCAATGAGTTTGAGACGGCATCGTATTATTATCTTTCCAGAGTCTGGCTACGGTCTAGTTTCATGGACTTTGGTGAGGCGTACGAGCTGCTAAACTACTATGAATATACACATCACAGATAAGCGCCCGTCTTCGGTCTCTGCACACCATGACGTACCCAATTTTAGTCAATTTTTTCATCATTTTTTTTTTGGCAAGCAGCGCATTGAACTACTGCTGACCCTGAGCCTGAAGCTTGAAGATTGCGCACTATAGTGGGAGCTGGGATCTGTCGCTGTTTCCGAGACGTTTTTGCTGATACAACACTTCGATCATTCAGGTAAGGTTATCAAAGTAGCCGACGCGTGGTCTAAACATGCGCCAAATCTTGATTATATGCGAAACGTGCAATCTTTTAACATTAGATAGTCAAAGGTCAACATCGATCGCATAGATATTGACGAATATTTGGTGTAAGCAAAACAAAGCAGCTTTTAAATATTATGTTATAGGGCAGATACTTTGTTGGAATTGCAATGATGATGAAATGGATATTATCGCCTTATCCAAAAAAAAGTTATAACACAAGAAGCTTAGCTTCAATAAAAATTTATATTCCAAAGAACTTATATAGCATAACATTTGTCGAGCATTCGATAATAATGCCTATGATAAAAAGGCGTAAATAAAAAAGTCGTACAGTCTTGCAGGCCTTTCCTTAGTTAACATAACATGCAACATAACCTGATAAATAAATATTTATAACAGCACGCCGCAGCTTACAATCACAGAGATTATTATTTATATTCATAAGCGCATTAGTAGAACACGGAAAAATCCTAATACTATTATTTTCTTATTCATCAATTAACAATAAATAAAAAGAAATTGTGAATATTGCACATAATTTATGCATGCAACAAGCAGCCAGCAGCTTGCCCCATAGCACGGCAGAGAGTGGCTGTTAAGTTAACAGAGCTTAAGCCTGTTAAAAGGCAGCTTTCAATAACAGCGCGCTACATCTTGCTAGGGCTAAGATACTTTTAAGCGGCATGCATAATACAGAAAGTATAATTATTACTCACTCTTTGCTTCTCGCTCCTATAAGATAATGTAAATTACTGCGGCGCAAAAAAAAGACATTAAAGAGTGCGCTGCTCGGCAGTGCACGACTCGTAGATACCCTGCACACCGCGCCGAGTTACCTTTACCAATATTTTAACTTCCTTCTACACATGCATACGCAGAAAAACATATTCACATACACAACCCGCCTGCTGCGCAGTATGTATGCTTGAATAGAATCGGTGCTTATAGTCCGATCTTTATTGAAATATAATCCAAATTTCTAGTTTCTAGGTCTTGCAGTTCAACGTGTTTGGCAGGCGGACTTGACTAGATCGACTCAGCCCTTCAGCCTGATGAAGAAAAGATATGTACCTTATGGTATTGGAGATGCTTTGCTCTGCACAAAAACATCATACCCTTTTTTAGACACATTCAATGGGTGGCTCAGCGTATGAGAACAATGCACAGGTAAAGTTTAGAAATGTGAATCAAAACTTTGTTGTTGTTTGTTTTTCGACTTTTCCAGACTCAGAGCAGCAAATAAAAAACAAGCGCTGGCCGCCGACTTGTTCATCCAACTATGTGCATAGTTATAGATAGATGTATAATATATATATATATATAAGTATATATACGTAAGTCATGTATGGTTGTAGCGACCAGCCTTCAGACACTTGAGGTGGGCCGTCTTGGCATAAATGCCAGTTAACTGGCAATCCAGAACTTGGCAAACATTGACAACAATGCGACTCTGATCAATTTATCAATTTCAGAACTTGATGGTTATGTATACAGAGCGTACAAGTGTAGATACATATATGTACATACATAAGAAATGTCGGAGCAGAAGTACTCGTACTACTCGTATACCTCAATAGATAATCGATAAGCACATTTGAGTGCCTCGACTTCCAGCACATTCGAAATGAATTCGAACTGTGTCACAATTCAAGTAGCATCGCCATATTTACTTTGTCTACACCAATTCACACTCTATAATATATATACTTCCATCTGCGTAGCTATTGAGCAGCGGCATGCCGCCAGATTGCAGATACGCCAAAGCAATACAGATACAAATATATATATATACATATATATATATATATATATATATATATGTAAGTACACTGTACTTATTATTTATGGCACTAACCAATTTGATTGCTGCGCAAAAAAATGCATTAAACTTGAACTAAATGCTGCGCATTATTTGAATGAAGTGGACGCAAACTTGAAAGGAGCCGAGCTGCCGCACCTTTTACGCAGCGGCTATGCTGCTTCTTCCTTTTGCAACACACTCCGGGAAATGCGTTCTGGCATAACTTCGAAATGCAGGCAGCTATTAACCAAGTAAAATATTCCCAAACTGTGTATGCTTGAGGAGAAACTGCATACCAAGTTTGGTGAAGATAGCTTTTATAATCCTCGAGCTATGTTTATAAAAATGCCTTAGAAATGGCAGAAGATACCGAAAAATGTGATAAGCTTGTTCTGCAAAGTCTCCAGCTCTTGTTGTTTCCGTCAATCCAGCTTTGTTCAAGAATATATAAGTATATATATATATATATACATATATATATATATGTATACCTTCTGGAGCCTCAGGTACTTTCTTCTGCCTGTCCCTTTCTGTAACAAGAATTTTCATTGTGCCGAGTAGTAGACTGCATGTTTTACTGAAACTTTTGCGTTTATTCAAACCAATGTGCGGCTTCACTTGAATATCTTATTTATTACAAAAAGGTCTTATTACAACTCAAGTGATTAAACCATTCTCAGGACTATCTCGAGAGAGTCGCTTCGTGAAACGAGGTCTGATGTAGTTTCGTACCTGTTCACGACTTAGCTCTGATTTATCGATTATAGATATTTTGTCACACTTACGATAATCTGATCTGATCAGAGTTTTGTTCACAGCTTCAGATCTAAAATATATTTATATATCTGCCTTTTGAAAACCCAAATGGAATTAAACAATGCCGAAGCTGGATTCTTTTATAAATGAAAAACAAGTGCGCAGAGTATTTCTTTCATTCGCTCTCACTCACATGAACTCTTTAACTCGCCGTCTCCCTCGTAATTATATCCCTTCTATGCGATTTTCATGAGCAACACAAGAGGACTAACAGGCTTTTTTATGTATGGTTATATGAAAGTCATTTCTATTCAAATATACTTTTATATTATATTTTTATTGAAAGCAGCAAAGGAAAGAATTTAAGAATTTGCTCTCTTTAAGGAGATATGTCAAGTATATCGATAACTGGAAATCTTGCATAGAGGGAGAATGGAAAAGTGGCGACAAAAGTTGTATTACTCTTTGGCGGTTTTTACTGCGACTGCAGCTTGTTATTATAGCTGAATGGCTCCCACTGAGCATGGACAAGATTGGGCTAAATAAAGCCATTCTAGCGCTTCTTTTTCTTTGGTCGCGATTAAAGTGGGCATTGGCATCCTGGCGATGCTGGAGCAGATGGGCGGCCAGCAGGACGCAGGGCACCCTCGCGCCGGTACAACCCCACCCGGCAAGGCTGCGGCAAAAGGGGCTCATCTAAGGAAAACGTAGCCCTACATTAAAACCGTACCAATCCACACAGCCGACCTTCTCCTCGATGACATTCAACGCTTGCAAATCATAAAAACTGCCAGCAGGAACGTTCCAGACAGCGCCGCCTTGGAAGCCCATGGTTGGCATTTGCTCCTCATCGCAGAAAAGTCTGCTTAGACTCTGGCTCTTGGACAGTTTCCATTAGGTAAGTCAACACATAAAACACCACAAATCTCATAATTTTCACTTGATTTATTTGAATGCTTTACACACAATCGAAAGGATTATAATTCTGAGAATTCCAGAAAATATATCTCAATATATAATTTAAATGAAAAGCTGACTTCGTATACTTTAGAGAAAAGAGATTATCGGCGCGCCAAACTGAGATTTTTTGGTAAATATTCGAAGCCAAAGTGCTGAACGAAACGTAGCCTCTCTTTCTATCACCCCCTCCCTCTCCCTCTCTATCTCTCTCTCTCTCGTTTTCTTTCTTTCTATCTTTCGCTCTCTCTCTCTCTCTCTCTTTTCCCATCTCTACCTCCCTTTCTAATTGTCTCTCCTACGCAAATATGAACCGCCTTTCTATGCGAATTTCATTATCTATACATAAATACTTAACAGAACTTGTCGCTTTCCCTTTTATTTAGCCAAATTGTTGGAGTTTATTTGAGAATTAGTTCTACCAATCATACATGGATATACACTACTCTCTTTGAGTTGGTTCGCGTTTAAATTTATCTTACAAAGGGTATTCACTTGGCCATGAGATGTCAGCTGATAGTTCAGGTTTATCCATTTTTAATGGGAGTTCTGTGCAGTCGAATATAATTTGAAAGCTGAATTTGTTTTAGAGCCGTTCATTGTTTATCATAGAATAACTGTCGCGAATATCAGCGAATAGTTGCCCAGAACTTGAGCTCTATTTTCGCTCGGATTAACGACCTGCCAAAAAGATAAACATTTAAATGATCCCAAGTGCTTGCCGCTTTGTGTACTCTCATACACATATGCATGCACATATTTCCTTATGCATTCGTGAGTATATTTTAATTTTCCATTTATTGTTATTATTATTTTGAGTTTTATTTTATATTTTATTTTTTTAAAGCTCACGTCGCCGCTTAGTTGATAAACGAACGCGCTTGCGAGCGGACCTGCCACAAAGCAACAACACGATTCCAATAAGCTTCGAGTCCGAGTGCGGTCATCAGATACATATGTATATGCAACCCAAAGCAATAACAATAAATGAGCTACAAAAGAAAAGAAGACGAAAACTATCGATTTGAAGAACTATATAAAAAATGGGTAAGTGCGTTATAAGATCTACTTATAAAAAAAAATTATAGTTGGTAAATTAAATTGCAAATTTATAAAAGCATTTATACCGAGATTTTCATTGTTATTATTAAGTACAAAACGGTTCGGAATTGATCAAATATCGTTACGTCATTTATTAACGTAATACTGTTACGCTAGTCAACATACTTATCAAGCGCTAATGCCGCTACGTTATTCAACATAAGCTCTTGTTTATCAACGTAAGCCCATTACGTTATTCAACAAAACCTGCTGTGTATCAACATAACCTCTCATTAATCAACGTAAGACCGTTACGTTATTCCACATAACCTGTTATGTATCAAAGTAATACCGTAATTTTATTCAACACAGCCTCTTATTCATTCACGTAATACCTTTACGTTATTCAATATATTTATCAATCTAATGCCGTTATCCATCCAAAGCCACACCGTTACGTTGTTCAGCATAACTTCTCATTTATCAACGTAAGACCGTTACGTTATTCTTATTAAACTCTTTTTTTTTTTAACAATGTAAAACCGTTACGTTATTCAACGTAAAGTTACCTGTTATTTGAAGTATTTTCCATTTACTTTCTCATTTTCATTTCTTCTCTCATTTTCATTTGTACTTGAATCAAGTCTTGATTTGGATGAATTTGGAACAGGTGTATATCCTATATTATTGGATTGACAATAATATCAAGGGCTTTAAGATATACTGGTGGAAAAACTCAATGGGAAAAGTTTATTTTTTGTTAAATTTTTGTAGTATATTTACAAACCTAAAAAAAAAAATAAAATTTTTACCTCTTGCAATTTTTAAGTTCTTCAGGTAACTTCCGGATATATTTCTTCAATTCCATTCAAAGTTCAAGTATAAAAGTTGAGAAACTTTATCAAAATTAAGTTTTTACTAATTTTGAGCAGCGACAGCGCAAAACCCGAATTTTTAGTAAACAAACTGACAAGAGAACCTCTGCGGATTTTAAAGGCAAAATACTTAGGTACGTATGTATATGGCATGTTCTCAGTTGCATAGGTCCATACGAATGCCTGCTTATATGTACATATATGTATATATATATATGTATATGTATACTATGTATATATTTGGGCAAGTTTGGAAGGCCTTTTCAAAGCTGTTGCTGTTCAGTTATTCGACTTGGGGGTGTTTTTTTTCTCTTAGCCGTAAAGTCATTAGCCGTATTTACGCCGGCCTCTTTGTTTATGTTGGCTTTTTGTTGTTGTTAGCCGTTTTATTTGCTTGACTTCCTTATGGTATTTGCATTTAGCTGAACATTTGTTTTGAGCGCCCGTCTCACAAAAAGCCAAACATGACACAGTGACACAATTTGCGGCATGTTCGCGCTGCAGTCCGCGAGCGTGTTGCCCCCAGCTCCATAGATCGCTCGTCGTTGATCTTCGCATACATGTGTGTACGTGTGTGTGTGTGTTGTATTTGCGTGTGCCCCAATTTGATGAAAGCCAGTCTACTCGTATTCGCACACACACACACACACACACACACACACAGACACACATGGGCACATATTTATAATGAGTATACGTCGCGGTGACTCACGGCACGGGCATGCATTTGGCTTGATCGTGATAAAGCCGCTGTCACAAATCTTGAAATTGAAACGCAATTGGCAATGGCATTGGCAAACAAGAGCGCGCCAAGCGGGTATGCCCGACTCGAAGATACCCGCAATACAGCTGCGAACTTTACTCTATGCACGACTGTGCAGCTGCTTCCCTTGGCTCGACACTCTGCCAAATGCATTCTTCAAGAACTTCGGTGTCTGTTGTCCGATCTTTTTGCAAATTTCCCTGCATAAATAAGCCATTCAAATGTGTTTAAATACCAAAAGCCAAGCACGGAAGAAGATATCCGAAAGGTAACATATTCGTGGAATTGCGTATGCCCCACAAAAACCTTCATCTAGCTCTTATAAGATCTGAGTTTTGGGTCTTCTTTGAAAATTGTTGCTTATCGATATCAGGTTGATCAGAAAGTTGATCTTATAGTCTGAATATATGAATATATGAATATATGTATATATATACTCTATGGGCTCTTGTCTGTAACACTTGCATTTGCAGCAAACTAGAATACCCTTTTAAGGCATAGTCAACGGGTATGCAAAGCGGGCAGCATTGTGGCCGTATCCAATGGATGCGCATGCAATTCATTTTTCTTTTTCTTTTTCTTCGTATCTTTGAAAGCGCGAAGAGGCGATGACGTTCGCGTCAAAGATCGTACGTGCCCGCAGCTGAATCGAGCGCGGCTCTGACTCCCGCAATCGCGGCACACGCGTGCACACGGCATGGGCAAATGGGAAAATAAAGCATGTGAAATATAACATATGTATGTATATTAAAGCAAAAGAAAACGCGTCGAATGCTGTTTAGAATTTCGAGCGCAAAGCAAAAGACCAACAAGGCAGCCAACTGCGCAGTCAGCGTCTTATCGGACGTCAAGTTTTAAGCACGCGCAGCCAAGTTTCAAATCAAAGCTCAAGCAAAGTTGCCTGCCATTAGAAAGCTTTGCGATCGCACAGTGTGCCACAGATAGTGTAATTTGTTTGAAAATTACATGCGGACTGCAGGTAGCAAAGAACAGAGACAAAAACCGAGACAAGCAGGCGCGTGTCGTGTCGCGTTATGGGATTACCTGGGCTGGATGGTTAACTACCTGTTGGCCAGTCGCTTATCAGCCGCAATGTGTTTTTAATCGGTTTCTAAGCATGGAAAGGACCTGCGTCGGCGTCTGCGCCTGCGCTTGACCTGACTGCTATAAAGCTGATCCTGCGCAGGCGTCTGTAAGCAGTTGACTTTCCGAGCTAATCCTGAAAGGTTATACTTTTGTTTGCAAATCAAATGTTAATAATCAATATTTATTATTGTGAGCACAAACCCTATTTACAACTTGGTAAGTTTTTCTTAAATGATAATTAAAATAGTTCAAGTATTGTTTTAAACAATCTCACGAACCTCAAACCTTAAGAAATAAATTCCATATTTAGAGCGTCTCAAATTCGCGAAAAATTAATGATGCTAAATAGATACATACTATATATTCAAAATAGAAATATTTTAAAGCTCAAATGCATTCAAAATTCGTTAACAAAATATTCGATTTCCAATAGAAGATATACGAGAGCACAGTGCAATAATTGCCAAAAGAAAATGATTTGCTCAAGTGCAAACAGAATAATATTAATAATATTATTGAAATAAATTAAATTTAACATTTCCTAGACACATGTTTTGCGCACACAAATGTCTAGCGCGGAAATAAAATAACCAAATCCAAAGTACAAGTACACACACACACACACACACACACAAAGTTGGACACACGGTGCAGCGGCTGGCGTGAAAGCTTTTGGCTCGCACTCAATTGCTGCAGCTTGAAAGCTTATTTGGCGCTGCTGCGGCTGCTGCTGCTGCTGCTCCATGACCACAACCAAAGTGACGACACTTGAATTGGGTTAGGCGCAATTGGAGACATGCGTCAGCAGCGGCTGGCAGCGGCTGAGACAGCGGCAGCGGCCGCGGCAGCGCTTGCCGTTTTTCTTTGTTTGCGAGCACCTCGATGCTAGCGTCGCCGTTACAATTACAGTTGCAGCAGCAGCAGCAGCGGCCGCGACAGCGACAGCGGCAGCCGCTGGCAAGTTCATTCGCTCACACATACACGCATGCAAGAGACGACTGTCGCTGTCGCTGGCGCAGCCGCAGGCGCGCTGCCGCCGCTCTGCCCATCCATTCTGCGCTTCAATCATACACGGCGGCCGCAGACTTTTATTTTGTTGTTGCTGGTCAACAAGTTAGGCAGCTGGGCGTGCAATTTCTTGCGCTAGTTTTCAATTCAGTTTACAAAACTCGTCTTCTTTGACTTTTTTTTGTGTGTGTGATAAATAAATACGAAACGGCATTTTTAGTGTGCATTATATTTAGGGCCCAAAAATTGAGACGTTTTTGTGTGGAAATAACGCGTTCTTCTCGCGCTCGACAATTTCTCA